CTCTATATCTCCAGTAATCTGTCTCAGTAAGATGAGATTTAAATGATCCAAACATATAATGCAATGCAATCCAGTGATGATTGAGAGATGAAGAAATAAACACTCCTCAAAAGATCCTGAGGATCAGATTTGAGACTCTAAAACATGATTGATGGAGAATCAAGTAAAGCTGAGCTGCTTCAGTCCAGTAAGTGTTCATCTGGAGATATTACTGCAGTTATTCTGACCTTTACTTGATCAAAATCAGTCAAGATTTGACAGCAGAAAGACTCGAGCTGAAGCTGGACGTTTCTACAATTACACTAACAGAGCTTTGACTGCAACTCTAAACTATCAATCAGAGACAGAAGACATGAGGAGAGTGTGTGTGAAACAGGTTTAACAGCAAAGTTTGATCATGTTGAAGTCTTAGAAATGTGAGTGTCAAATATGATACAGTAGGTTTCATAGGGTTAAAAGTCACACAGGTTTAGCGCAACAGTAGCCGATGACAGAATGATCATGTTTTAGTGCTGTTTCTCTATAACAAGCCACAATCTTCAGGAGAGATGCAGTACAGTGGAGCTGCACAGAAAGCAAGATGGAGACAGATAAAACGACAGAGAGAGAGAGAGAGAGAGAGAGGTGACTTTGAGAAGCTGGACTCAGTCTCATGCCAAGCGTCTCTCTCTCTCTCTCTCTCTCTCTCTCTTTCAAGTTTTTTTCAGTAAATGTTTATTTTTTTTTATTTAATGATTATTATAAGTAATTTCGATGTTTTTTTTTATGGTTTTAGTTTTAATTAATGATAATAGCTATAATAATGATCTAGGGTTGAGCAATACATTGATTTTACTGGCGATATAAAATTATGCAAAATTGTGACAAATGTAATATTTTTTTCTATGTAGCCATTGTGTTTCCTAAAGTGATCCTTTCTTATCTCATGAACATGACAGAGTCAAGACAGAAATGTTTTAAAAGTCAACGTGAAATAGTTCACACAAAAATGACTTTACTTCCCCTCGAGTCGTTCCAAATCTGTGCGCCTTACTTTCTTCTGTGGAGAAAACACAAACAAACCAACAATACACTGACTGTATGGAGAAAAACCACTGAGACACTTCTCAAAATATCTTCTTTTATGTAAAACAGAAGACAGTAAGTCAAACATTTGAATGACTTCACGGAAAGTAAAGATGACAGAACGATCACTTTTGGGTGAACTATCTCTTTAATTCATGTTTCTGTTCATAATATGATTCAATATTCAACTCATTTTATTTCTCATTAAACTTTTGTGAACGGTTGTGATCACCATTTTATCTTGAGTGTAAATGACTTTCGCTTTAAAATGACTGAAAACAGTGTAAGTTCAAACTGAGATTTTCAATTAATTTGATTTAAAACTAAGATTACACTAATTTGTGATCATGTTCATGTTGTTTTCATTTATAGTGAAAAACCAGTGTTATTTTAGCTTTATTTACATACTATTACAGTATTGAATTAGCTTTTATTTTTTATCATTTTAATTTAAGTTTTAGTAATTTTCTTATGTGCTTTTGTCATTTGCATTAGTGTTTCTTAATATTTTTCTATTTTGCTTTATATTTATTTCAGTTTTAGCAGTTTTAATACTTTAGCTTCAACTTTTTTCATTTAATTAACATTTCAAATTTTTACGTTTTTAAGTTCAGTGTTTATATTTTATTTTATTTCAGCTGTATTTGAGTTGTTGAAAACCGTTTTTAATAGTTTTATTTAGCAATAATGACACTGTGTAAAACATGCTCTTTTTGCTGTTTTATTTTCAATCTACTGGTCAAAATGATGGTTCCTCTTTTTAACCCATTTAAAAACAAATACAAAATATATACTAAATATCTTCAAAAGGCTAAAAAATATTGAATTTGTTTTTCAGCTCTCGACATGACCATTTAAACATTACAGAGACAAATGGTAAATAATTAACTATGGATCATGGATGATTTTATGAGAAATGTGCATTTTTCAAATAGTGACATTTAAATGCATATATTTGATATTCTGACTTGAAGGAAGCACGTTATGACGTTAACCCACACAGAATGAAGCTCAGCGGAGAACAGGACGAGCTCAGATGGTCGATGCTGTGGTCAATAATGATAAGGCCGGCTTGCTCAGATGTGCAAAGTTCATTTTAACTCAATCAACTGGATTTTAGTTCCCCCGCTCATTAACCTTGGATTTAGGCTTTTTCCAGAAACTACAAACAGTGACAAATGTCTCCAGATTGATCCAGTTAAGAAAAGCAATGTTTCTGGGTTTGCAAGGTTAACCTTAATGAGAAACACACAGAGCGTAAGCAATGACACGTCAAGAAACACATTCAATATGAACAATATTTTCCTATCTGAGCACATGAGGTGTAAATCCATCCTCAGGCCACAGGAAGTGGAGACTGATCTTCCCGCTCTCCTTGATCCCAATCCGTCTGGAGTTCAGAGGAGACCTCGGTGAACAGATGATCCCAATCCCAGCCCACGTCCTCCTGCACAGACACCACCAAACCATCACAGCAGCTTCACAGAGAGAAAACCGATTTAAAGGAACAGTTCACCTAAACATGAAGCTTCTGTCCTCATTCTCTTACACTCAGGCCGAGGAACACATTGTCGGAGAAATCTTTATTTCCATATAATGTGATATATAAGACAGTTCGTAGTAAGTATGTGATGTCTGTGAAGCTCCAAATGATTGAAAAAACGCAAGAGTAAAGCAGATTCGACTTCCTCACACTTAGAATATAGTATACAACTCATATGCACTTCTATGGTGCTTCATTAAATAATTTTTATTAATCGTTTTGTCATTGTGTATATAAAAATGAGAGGGTTCCTCAAAATATCTTTGACATTCAAACTGTGATTTCAAGTAATTTGATTCAAAGCTATGATTAAACTATTAATCACACACACACTATTATAGTTTTATTATAGCTTTTATTTGTATTATATTCATTTTTATGAACGCTTTTTTTAATTGTTGCTTACATTTTTGTATTTTTGTTACGTGCTTTTGTCATTGTCATAATTATTTACTATTATTTTAAAAAATTAGCTCCATTTTTCAGTTTCAGTAATTTTAGTAGGCAGCAGTTTTTCCATCTAATATTTATATTTGGTTCTGTTTCAACTCTATTTAAATAGTGGAGAATAATTTGTAAGTTTATTTTTAGTTAAAAATGTTTACAATACTGTGTAAAATATGTTTTTATTTTGAAATTCTCTTTTAACCATTTTAAAGCCATTTAAAACAAATACATAACATATAAGACATATACTGAATATTATCAAAAAGCTAAAAAATATTGATATTCTTTAGCTCTAGACATGACCATTATAAGATCATAGTCAGATATTAAATAATGAATTACTTCATCTGGATATGGATAATTTCACAAGAAATGTACTTTCTTTTAAATGAATCACGGTCACATGAATCATATGCTTTTTTTATTGTTTTGATGTTTTTGGTTCTTGTCATAATGGACTGTCATTCTATATAAAAGAGTAAAGGTTCGTCAAAATATCTTCTTTCATGTTTCACAGAAGAAAGTCATATGAGTTTGAAACGACGTGAGGGCGAGTAAATGAAGACAGAGCACTCATATCTGGGTGAACTGTCCTGTAACACATTGTGGGACAGTATGAGATGAAGAATGCTGCTGGTGACTTCATAAATCTGTTGTCTGACCCTCTTACACGGCCTAGAAAGAGCCGGACAGACGCTATATTTACTGGCAGAGCTCACCTCTCTCACCTTCTGCTCCGGGGCTAAAACCTTCGTGAGCAGCTTCAGGTCAATCTCTCCATCCTGAGAAACATTCAATACAGATAAAACATTATACTGAAAATACTGAAGCATTGCAATATAATGCCAGGGTAGTCCAAAAAACAGACACTGTAGGACGTGAAGGATGAATTAGGCAGTAACTTTATGCTGCCTTACAAGATCCTCGATTTGGACAAAGCCACAGTCGGTGTTGTTTAGGAATGACGGGTGAGTGTCTCACCAGGGTCTGAAAAGCCGAGTACTTCATGAGGTCGTTGTCCAGGTCTCTGTAGGTCATAACTCTGTTCACCTGGATACTGCAGACAAGAGAGATCCATAAACACGTGTCTGTCTTTGGCATCTCAAAGACTATTTTATCCTCCTTTTAAATTGCTGATAGACGACCAGATGAAATTCTGAGACGCTTCAGCTCCATCGATCCAATTAAGAATGAATTTAAACTCAGATTAAATATTATGAGAAACTTTAGACATGAACACTGATTGTTAAACTCATTACTCATGAGGCACTTCAACAGTTTGCACATATCCAAGCATTTTTGACAGATATGTGTGCACAGGCTTGTGTTAAGACATTCATTAAACATGTCTAGAGCAAATAAAAAACAAGGGGATCATCATATTTTGGGGTCATTGGCACCAAAAAACCCTCCAATTGTCATTTTACCTATGTTTTTTTAAACCTTAAGTAAATATCATATCATATATCCAGCAGGAATGTTAATGGAAAGAAAGTATCTTTATTAAGTACCAAAGTGCCTTTTAAGCTAGCATATAGACAGTTTAATTAACTAAGTTTCTCAACAAGATCCAACAGATCTTGAAGCATATGAGAGTTTGTTTTCTTGATGATGACTACTGTTTAAACTGTAGGATACCTAGGTGGAGCAGCGATCTGCATGGTGAGGTCTTCCTCTTGAACCTCCTCCAGGTCTGGAATCACTGGGATGTCTAGAAAATGCAGGTGAAATGTGTTAATCTTGCTAATAGTTCAATGAAAAATACAAGACAATTCATGTAACTACCTATAATATTATGGTGGCAGAGATAGCTCAACATGCTGCAACTGAAGAAAACACAAAAAAACACACTGAAAAAACAACAGCAAATTAAGAAAACATCTGCATATTGTAATGTTGCAAGAATGTAAACAAGCAGGCAGAGACGTGGATGCATGGTTTTAATAAAGAAAGAAGGTAAACAAATGACAAGGAACAATGGGAACAAAGAACCAGAAACACAGGTAAAACGGCAAACATACGTTCAACAACTGACAAGGAACAAGTGAAACACTAGGGCTATATATACACACAGGAGAACAAAAGGACTGATGAGTTACTGTGGGAACAAACAAGGTAGGGGTGTGGTCAATGAATAACTGTGGAAATTAGGGTAACTATGGAGACAAACAAGGCACACAGCAAACAGGGACAAAGCACACATAGGGAAAATGTAACAATTGCAGCATATTTCTGTATTTGAATTTGCAGCACAATGCTTACAACGCAACCAAATACAGAAACACGCTTGTTGGTTGCATTGTGAGTATTTGCAACATGTTTCTGTATTTGGTTTTGTTGTGAGTATTTGCAGAACGCTTCCATATTTGGTTGCATTGTGAGTATTTGCAACACGTTTCTGTATTTGGTTTTGTTGTGAGTATTTGCAGAATGCTTCCATATTTGGTTGCATTGTGAGTATTTGCAGCATGGTTCTGTATTTGGTTTTGTTATGTGTATTTGCAGTGTGTTCCTGTATTTGTTTCTGAGTATTTGCAGTGCATTTCCGTATTTGGTTGTGTTGTGAGTATTTGCTGTACGTTTCTGTATTTGGTTACGTTGTGAGTATTTGCAGTACGTTTCTGATTTGGTTGCGTTGTGAGTATTTGCAGTACGTTTCTGTATTTGGTTGCATTGTGAGTATTTGCAGTACGTTTCTGTATTTGGTTGCATTGTGAGTATTTGCAGTACGTTTCTGATTTGGTTGCACTGTAAGTATTTGCAGTACGTTTCTGATTTGGGTGCGTTGTGAGTATTTGCAGTACGTTTCTGTATTTGGTTGCATTGTGAGTATTTGCAGTACATTTTGTATTTGGCTACGTTGTGAGTATTTGCAGTACATTTTGTATTTGGCTACGTTGTGAGTATTTGCAGTACATTTTGTATTTGGCTACGTTGTGAGTATTTGCAGTACATTTTGTATTTGGCTACGTTGTGAGTATTTGCAGTACATTTTGTATTTGGCTACGTTGTGAGTATTTGCAGTACATTTTGTATTTGGCTACGTTGTGAGTATTTGCAGTACATTTTGTATTTGGCTACGTTGTGAGTATTTGCAGTACATTTTGTATTTGGCTACGTTGTGAGTATTTGCAGTACATTTTGTATTTGGCTACGTTGTGAGTATTTGCAGTACATTTTGTATTTGGCTACGTTGTGAGTATTTGCAGTACATTTTGTATTTGGCTACGTTGTGAGTATTTGCAGTACATTTTGTATTTGGCTACGTTGTGAGTATTTGCAGTACATTTTGTATTTGGCTACGTTGTGAGTATTTGCAGTACATTTTGTATTTGGCTACGTTGTGAGTATTTGCAGTACATTTTGTATTTGGCTACGTTGTGAGTATTTGCAGTACATTTTGTATTTGGCTACGTTGTGAGTATTTGCAGTACATTTTGTATTTGGCTACGTTGTGAGTATTTGCAGTACATTTTGTATTTGGCTACGTTGTGAGTATTTGCAGTACATTTTGTATTTGGCTACGTTGTGAGTATTTGCAGTACATTTTGTATTTGGCTACGTTGTGAGTATTTGCAGTACATTTTGTATTTGGCTACGTTGTGAGTATTTGCAGTACGTTTCTGTATTTGGTGCGTTGTGAGTATTTCCCGTACGTTTCTGTATTTGGTTGCGTTGTGAGTCTTTGCCGTACGTTTCTGTATTTGGTTGCGTGGTGAGTATTTGCAGTACGTT